AGAAAACATGTATAACAATTTATTTTCCACATAATACCATAAATAACACACCCTATCGTATTTCTAAGATTAATAAAAAAGGAAAACGTCACTTCTATATTATTGTGCTCATATTTTTTGGTTATTATGATGGTGAGTAATGAACACACTAGCTATACGTCCGCTATCAGTATTATAATTTGGCCAAATGTTTGTTTCACGTTTCGTGTACGTGACGACTCTTTACAATCCCAGTGACGAAGAGGGTAACTTTTAAAACTTGGTGTTTTGCGAAATAATGGTTCCTTTATGCTGGAAACCGTGGTCACTAATGTTTAAACCACATTACTCGATAGTACAACAGGTTTGTTACGCTTTGTTTCGTACAGAGGTAACTCAGAGGCCTGTTTACACTGTATTAACATTAGTATCCCATTTGTATCCACAACGGTAGTCTGTCTATAACAATTTATAGTTAGTAGATTGGAAGACTGGTGTTGGTTGTTGGAAAATAGGCCTAGATAGAATTTGGGTACAAAAATCTAAATCCAACAACGTATATCTATTAATTAGCAACAACAGGGACATTACATCCACACAAATATTGTTCAAATATGATTTCTGAAGAAGAAAAACTTATCGTCGCTGAAGTAGGTTATTTAAATAGACAGGGTGATACGTTCATACTTGCATCAAAAATTACTATGTAGTAAAAAAATTTTACTATACTGCGTATACTTCAAGTTGGCCGATGGACCCGGGACTACCTGTGGCTACCCCTATAATCCCTCGCAGTGTTCGCCGGAGCAGCCCGATGTCTAGGCGATGAGTCACCTACTGGCTGTGTTTATACAATGGTAAAACTTTTTAACAGAGTAATAATTTTACATTTTCAAAAGTGTTTTTGAAATCTGCTAAAAAAGTTATAAAAAATGATATAAAACTCGACCAAAACAAAATAATATTTAATGTGATAAGGGTGTTACAATGCTAAAGTTAATCAACAAGAAAATCTGCAAACAAGTCTGTTTCTAGATGATTCATACTATTTCTAAAAGAGGGGTTGTGACTCATTTAGTAAAACTGCAAATATATGACCAGTGTGTGTAGTGACAGTCGAGGGGTGCACATCGTGAGTACGTGAAATTCGGCCAGTGTTTTTTGCGCTTATTTAGAATTACATTTCTGGACGTATAGTGAATATAATTTTAAAAGTAGTCAATTTAATTTGTTCGCCGTAAATTCTTATGTAATGCCTCCTTCAGAGAAACGGGGTAAAGTGTATCATTCCCAAGCTAGAACGATAATTGCGTCTGTCCTCCAGTATTTCGAGCGAGAACGCGACAACAAAGGGCCGCTAAAAGATGTAAAGAAAGTTGTCGAAAGAGTGTCCGAAGCGTGTCAGGTGTCGATACGGACCGTGGGAAGAATAAAGGCGGAGTTGAAAAGTGTTAGTGTTGGTGCTGATACATCTCATTCTAGTGACATTCAACTGGACTTGGCAGAAGAAACTGAACAAGAAGCTGTAGCTGTATGTAACCACTCGACTCCTGTACTTCAAACGCCAAAAAAGAAAAAGCACAAGCAGTCACGGTTCTCGCTCATGGACGATTTTGACAGAACTGCGATTCGTCGGCACGTGGTAAATTATTACAAACGCAAAGAGGTACCAACGCTCCGAAAACTTCAGGTCACACTTCGTGAGGCAAGTCTATTCAGTGGCTCATTACGAACGTTATCCAAATTGTTGAAAAACCTTGGTTTCCGCTGGAAAAAGCTCAACAAAAGAAAACTGCTAATGGAAAAACCTAGTATTGCTTTATCTAGGTGTAGATTTTTAAGAAAAATGAAAAATGTTGATATGAAAAATGTAATTTTCCTCGATGAAACGTGGCTTAACGCCAACTCAACAAAGGAGGTGGGATGGACGGACGACAAGTCTGATTGCAACTTAAATGCTCCGCTCGGAAAAGGGAAAAGACTCATAATATGCCATGCAGGAGGATACAATGGTTGGATAAACTCACCACCATTGATTTTTGAATCAAAAAAGACAGTTGATTTCCACGAAGAGATGAACCACGAAGTTTTTGAAGGCTGGTTTTTTGAGGTGTTGTTAAAATCAATCCCAGCTGGCTCTACAATAGTGATGGACAATGCCCCCTATCATTCCCGGGTGGATAATCCAGCACCAACAACATCGTCTAGAAAAGGGGAGTACATTGACTGGTTGCATAACCGTGGAATTCCATTTACTCCAGATATGCGTAAGCCTGAACTCTACAATCTCATCAAACTTCATAAGCCTCAGCTTACTTCCTATGTTATTGACAAGAAAGCTGCTGACCTAGGATTTAGAGTAATCAGACTTCCACCATATCATTGTAATTATAACCCCATTGAAATGGTATGGGGCCATTTGAAGCGGTACGTAGCATCAAAGAACACCACATTCAAGTTGTCAGACGTTCAGACACTCTTCATGGAAGCTGTGAACTCCTATCCCCCCGAAACCTGGGAAAAATGTGTCAAGCACGTGAAGACTGAAATGGACAACGATTGGCTTAGTGAAGGTCTCGACGATACCAGTGTGCAGGAACTTATCATTAACCTGGCTCCAGGGGACTCGGATGTGGATGACAGCGATGAGGAAGACGACTTGGGAGTCGCTCAGCTTGAATGAGTAAGTTATTTCCCTTATTAAAAAAAAGTATTTTTATCAGTTTTGTGGAGTTAGTTTTAATAAATAGAATTATTTTAATATTTAAAACTATAAAAACTTCTACTTATTAAAATACTAGATTGTAAACAAACGTATTATTATTTATAAAAATTATAGTTATCATAAATTACCGTGTATAATCTGTTTTTTTTAGCTTAATTCTATTTTATTTTACTAAGAAGTTTGAAAAGATGTTTTTCTAGCATAATTGAATTTTTCAGCTGACAACTTTGCTCAAATTAAATAAATGGGTTTCAATTTTTCGTCAGTCAATTTGGTTACAAACAAATCGTAACTTACTTTTTCTTACTTATTTACTTAATTACTTTTTTCTCTTGCAGAGAGAACACAAGAATCCATATTAAGAAGACCTTGCCAGTGAAACTATCAGAAGCAATTACAGACCACTGAAGGTTTAATTTGGTTTAATAGTTAATAATTTGTTGTACAGTATTGTTTTTTTATTGATGCGTATGATTTGTTTTGTATAGTATTTTGCATTGTACAGTATATAGCATGTTGTATATATAACGTTTTTGACTGATTGTTATTGTAATTCGTATTAGGCTTATTATATCTCATTAAAACAGATTTACTATTAACAAATTCTACGATCAATTTAATTTCACCCAAACAGTCCCGAACTTAACCTATTACTATTGATTTACAGCTTATAACTTGCCTAACTCCTTTTGTTCAGGTCGAGTTTTATATCATTTTTCATAACTTTTTTAGCAGATTTCAAAAACACTTTTGAAAATGTAAAATTATTACTCTGTTAAAAAGTTTTACCATTGTATAAACACAGCCAGTAGGTGACTCATCGCCTAGACATCGGGCTGCTCCGGCGAACACTGCGAGGGATTATAGGGGTAGCCACAGGTAGTCCCGGGTCCATCGGCCAACTTGAAGTATACGCAGTATAGTAAAATTTTTTTACTACATAGTAATTTTTGATGCAAGTATGAACGTATCACCCTGTCTATTTAAATAACCTACTTCAGCGACGATAAGTTTTTCTTCTTCAGAAATCATATTTGAACAATATTTGTGTGGATGTAATGTCCCTGTTGTTGCTAATTAATAGATATACGTTGTTGGATTTAGATTTTTGTACCCAAATTCTATCTAGGCCTATTTTCCAACAACCAACACCAGTCTTCCAATCTACTAACTATAAATTGTTATAGACAGACTACCGTTGTGGATACAAATGGGATACTAATGTTAATACAGTGTAAACAGGCCTCTGAGTTACCTCTGTACGAAACAAAGCGTAACAAACCTGTTGTACTATCGAGTAATGTGGTTTAAACATTAGTGACCACGGTTTCCAGCATAAAGGAACCATTATTTCGCAAAACACCAAGTTTTAAAAGTTACCCTCTTCGTCACTGGGATTGTAAAGAGTCGTCACGTACACGAAACGTGAAACAAACATTTGGCCAAATTATAATACTGATAGCGGACGTATAGCTAGTGTGTTCATTACTCACCATCATAATAACCAAAAAATATGAGCACAATAATATAGAAGTGACGTTTTCCTTTTTTATTAATCTTAGAAATACGATAGGGTGTGTTATTTATGGTATTATGTGGAAAATAAATTGTTATACATGTTTTCTCTTAACCCAATTTTTGTAAAATCGGTTGACAATCATCTTTTGATATTTTATTATTCGATGAAACCGTGATCGGCCATAGCAATCCCACAAGTCCGTAGTAATACACGGTAGCCTGTGTCTCAATTGGCTCATTTTCCGGAAACCTCAACACTTGAGACTTCCTGCTATAGTTGCAATAATACTACTCTTATACATTAACAAGTTTATCGTACGCATAGTGTCGGATGTTTTTAAGTGTAATGAGACTTCTACTGTATGGATGAGAGGTTATTGACGATGAATCATGACTGTAAGTTATAAAGCATAGTTTTAGTAAAATAATGAATCCTAGTAAAGTATTTACATATAACAAATGTAAAAAATCATTAGTCTAACGACTAAAAAGTGCCGTACATTTATTTATGTTGAACGTTTTGTCAATGATTAACGTTTCAAGGGACAGTTAGAATTTCATCAGAAAACTAAAACACAATACTAATCTACAGTATTTACAAATGTATAGTTGACCACACAAATACCTTACGTATATCCTAATCAAGTCTTACGATATGTCTAAACTGTTAGTCTAGTCTGACGCATGCTCATCGTACGTGATAATGAATGTATTGTGTATGCTACAGGTAGTAGGAAAGCCATCAGCACACCATGCTGGATCAATGCCTGTCTCTGACCTTAAACATCGGAAAGTGCGGCTGGAGAACCATGACGTCATCTGACAGCGCCGGCCATCTTGGACAACAGACAGCGCTGTGACGGCGGAGCGGTCGTATCCAGAACTACCGCCACCATAGCACACCAGTACATCTGAACATGTGATGGGGAAATTAGTACATAACAATGTGACCCAAATATATACTGAAAGATAGGTTAAGTTATGAGGGTTAGTGAGGTAAAAAGTCGAGATTTAACAACTCAGCATAGGTGTTACGAGAAAAAGTGTGATTACGAACAAATTTTAGTGAACATTGATATGCATATAAGTTAAAGGCCATAACTGTTATGGATGTACTTTAATGGCTTTAATCGTTAAGCGAACAAAATATTTACCTTTGAAATAATTACATCACTCTCCCAAGTCTTGACAATAGTTAATTTTGACATTTCATTTCAACTTATCCAATTATAAATAAAACATTTGAACGACAATGCTCAAACAATCATGCATTTAGCTATAATGTAACTTAAACCTTAAATTCAACCGATAGATGAAATTATACTATGTCACGTATCGAATGATACCTAATCGAATAAAACAACATCATCGCTAAACTCTACGCTCGATTACAAAAGATACACGTGTAGCGACGCAACAAGTGAACTAACTGTTGATCGGTCAGCGGGCGGCGAGGTACCGAGGTACCGGAGTACCGAAGTACCGAAGTACCAAAGTACCGGAGTACTGGAGATAACAGATAAGTCCTGCCGTAGAGACGCGACGCGAGAGACTGCAGCAGGCCACAAACGGAACGTATAAACAAAACATATACAACCGACGACGAGAATGGTCGGATTGTCAAGTACTGCACTGCCGCGACGCGGTTCGCCCTCCATCAATAAAAAACACCATATCTTCTTATGCTTCCGCCTATCGGAAATTATGGTAATTGTTCTCATGAAATGGTTACGGGCCGAGTGAGGTGGCAGCGGGCTTTATGTTGTTTTTATTTCACTGTCGCAAATTTTATTTCGCCGGTGTTCGTGGCCGGATGGCGGATAGTGCGGCCGAGGCAGTCGGATCCCTGTTGTAAACTCGTGGGAATTCTTAATCAACAAAAATGCTCCTGTCTTTCGACTTTTACGCCGTGTCTCTTCTCAGGTTTATGTCGAGTTGTTTTGTTGCCTCGTCACACATGGAGTAGCACAGCTCCTATACACCTATACACCAATACACCACATAGTACGAGGAGGGGCCTACACATGTTCCCCGCCCCCTCCTACATAAACAAACACACTGTCGTTTTATATTTTATAAGTGCAAAACAAATGTTGGTTCGTTAAAGTTAAGTTGATCAATTATTTTACTATTAAGTTCTACACGGACTTGGGTAACTTCAATTAGTCAATGAATAATTTATTTTGTTTTTATGGGATCGCAATCAATTGTTTCAGTTTCAGATACAAACATCAGTTACGTAACTGAATATTTCAACGGATATATTTCTCATATGTAGTCCTATTACACTTGGTATTTTTTTAACGCGTTCACATTATTTAAAGTGTATAAACAGATGAACCATCGCACCAAACTTATATGTTTTGACATAATCGCAACTGCCATTTCATGCTATCTAAGAATCTAGCTATAAAACTCATATTTTTATAAAGCAAGAAATAGGAAAGAGGCAACAAAGTGTGGATTTAATCTGCCGAGGGCTTCGGTTGGAAACCTTAAACTATCCAAGTTATGGGTAAACAGCTCGATACGCTGCCAGCTCGCTCAGTTTAGTTGACTGGGTTTTGGCTCGCTTTGGGAACTAATCTTGTCAATTGGGCAGCTGCACCGGATATTTTTTTATTTTGTAAAGTATAAATTTAAAACAAAATATAAGACGTGTGTTATGTGCAAAATGACCCTGAATAACGTAACTGTAGGAAGGTAAAAATGTTGTATAATTATATTATTGACATTTTCTAAATAAGTTGGTTGATTTAGATCAGGACAAACTGCCACGATGATTCATTTAGCAATTTTAGACCTACAGCGAAACAATAAACAAGTGCACCATGAGTGAACAAATGCTTATAATGTCCTTAATTGCAAAGAAAAAAAAGATTAAAATTCACCATTCGCAAATGACCTTTAAGAAGTCTCGCATATTAAACGAACTGTGAGGTATCTCATTATATCTCTCAAACAAAATCAACAATGCATTTGTTCTTGGGTTATCACAATTGATCATTGGACAAAGGGAAACAAATATAAAAGTATTTAAATAGTCATCAATAAATCTTTGTTTATGTAAATGGGATAAACAAAACCATGCTAACTAATTCGTGATCGATAAACGGAAGTGAATGGAAATCCCTAATAAGTATCATATTTGTAAGCCAAAAAATCAAAATCTTTATTAAAAAATCACTGTTTGAAATCGTAATATGAATTCTCATTTTATATCAAATTGTAATAAAACAGATTATGTAACAGGCTTTTGACAGTTTATTGTAGAAAAAGTTGGTGTAATTTCATATACGTTTACACGAATAACTAAATCAGTGAGTCTGCGAGGGTAACTTTTACAGAAATTAAAAAAATAATATGCTTTCTAAAGATCATAATAGATAGATTTTCCATTGATATTTTAACTACAAAGGATTTTTCTACCTCTCTAGTTAAACTAATACATGCAACTGATCAGAAATGGATGCATAAAAACAATATTACATATTTTAAGCTACTAATTTGAGTTATAATTTAAACCATAACCTAACCACGCACATTGTTAGAATTGGTTTAAATTTATAACTTAAATATAAACTGTTTAGTAAAGGTCTTGAAAATTATTCAACTAATAAAAATCTACGATATACAAGAATTTTTTAAAGTATCATTTAAGAGTGTTACCATGAAAGCCTTGTCCCCACCCTGAAAGTTTAAATTATATTAATAATCTTATTATTTTTTGTAACATTAATCCATATTGGATTTGTTTTTATATATTTCCAGTTACAAGAAGTTTTGACGGAGGCAAAGAGCTCGAGATAGCCGAAGATTCATCAAGATTCCCGGCCAACAGTTCCGAAGAAGGTCCCCTACTCTTTCTGTGAAATAAACTGCGAATATGTACACCTATATTCTTAGTTAATTTGTATCACTAAACTGTTATTGTGAACCTTATGTTTAACTATACAATCCCTAGTACTTGTGCTTGTACCTTATTTCAATGAGGCACAAGTTTGTATGCTTGGGATAAAATATATTAATTTACTGATCGGTTTACAATTTATTTACCAAACATCTTTACAGTTTTCATGTAATATTTATTGGTATTGTAAAAATATAAATATACTGTCAATTGTAATTCAATTAAATTGTTTAATAATATAGTTACAGAGCATGTATGATTATAAACAATAATTGAGTGGATAAGTAAATATAAAAATAATGCTCCTTTCCTGAGTATAATAATGTATACGAGTATTGAATATTGGTTAAACGCCTTTCCTCAGTTAAATACAAAACAAACGAAGGCATTGAAAAACGAATGATAGGCTTGTTTAACAAGTAACAAATTAAACTATGCAAATAAATTTTTCAGAATCTCCATGAATTGTTTTCTGTACGTGTATTCATCATTACAAGGATGTTAAATAAAAATTCATATTCCAAATCAAAAATATGCATTGATAGTTTAAGATTGTATAAAAATATAGTTAATGTGTAAATACAACAAAAAACCTTGTAGTGTGACTAGACATTTTAATATATTATTCGCATTCGGTATAATTACACCAAATTATTCATTTGAGGCCCTTGAGCAGTTAGCTCATATCTTTTTAGAAACAATATTTGATATTTTCAGGTTAATGTAGAAACAAACTAGTATCATAACACAAGCATTGATAAAAGTAAAATAAATAATGTGTTACAAGAGCAACATCCAATCGTAAGTGAATTATTTAATATATGAATTATATAATATTTAAACAACTAATTCTATTAAACGCTCCCGCTTGAAGGGAAATATCTTTAGCGACACATGCATATAAATTATATATAAACTGTACATCCACAACTAGCATAATACAAATACTTAATATGCATTTCTTTAACATTTACAGCAAAATAAACACATTTCACACTCACTTCGATATTAGGTAGTAAACCGCCAGACAAATATACCATTTCAAAAGTATGTCATTGCCAAAATAAGTTTACTAACTTAGTTCTAAAACCGTTGATGTATATGTTGGGTATATATAAAACTCTCAAAATCTTATATCTGCTGGTTGGTTCTCAATTTCACATTAAAACTATAACTCTCTGTACCATTTTTAGATGCACATTTTACAAAAACAGCATCAATATCTCACAGGAGGTGTTGTTCCTTGTTAACCATACTATTGCATGACAATTTACAAACCTCTACATTATTCATGCAAGAGCCAAGTATATAAACGTACAAAGATGCAATCTCAGACCGAGCTTTGATTTATGATCATACAAATGCTTATCACGATGAGATAAATGGAAACCAAGTAACATGAGTTTCCAAGAGCCTAGACCGCGTGTAACAATCTTCTCTGTTATTACTTGAGTATGCTATGTTTGTGTAAATTCCACCACATTTGTAAAGAGTATCGGCGTACTTCCGAAAAATTATAAAATACACGTTTATATTTAGTAAAAAAAAAAAATAGTTGATGATATTAGGAGTAAAGTATGATGCGAAAGATTCCAAAACAACTTTAGAACTTTTTATAAGATGGAAATACACATTTATTATAAACAGGATGATACTGACTTACGCTCATTTTGTAAAATTGCAGGTAACTGGAATCTCATAAAAAGTAAATAAAAAATACTCTATTCTTAAAGTTCTTTAATTTATGTGTAAAATTTAACTAACTATGCTGAAGATTATGTATCTACAAATCTATCTAAATAACACATTTGAATCTGAAGGTTTTAAGTAAATGAATAATACAATTTGTGTAAAAAGACATTTGATAGGATAATATATCAGGATATACTTTCGTAATTGATCACTCTAAGTCGGTATACAACATTTGGCTTTACATACTGAATTTTACGACCCAATTGTATGCACATCTATAGATATTGGAAGGTTTTGAATTTTACTTAT